ACTCGTCTTCTTTGTCTATAGTTTTGTCGATCAATTTCAACAATCAGCCCGTTTGAAGAATTTTATTTCCGAACTTCACGCTGTGTAAATCTTTATTTATACGTAAGATTTTGAAAGGAGAACATGGTGTCGTTTATTTCTAGTAATATAGACATTATCTGGAGGCGTATATTATTCATAATGAACATAAAATGAAAAACAAGCCCGAAACTTTTAAATCCGTTTTCTCCAAACGTAATTTTTAAGCTATGGACCCACTTGTACCTATTCCTTAATTATGACCCACCTTGGGGGAGGTGAGGGGTCCCATGTAAATTTCCGTGCCATCACACGGCTGAGTAAAATCCACCGAATTTTCCGCGTTATCCTTGACTTTTCAAGAACTTTTCGCCCCGAGATAGGATCTTCTGTAAAGATCGTATCCGGCGATTGCGAGATTTCCTTCTCGATATTTTTTTCGTGTCAGCTCAAAGAGAAGGATACCCAGTCCAAGCTAACGCCATTCCGGTGTGGTGCTGACCCAGTTTTTGTGTTGAGCGCTGAAGTGTTAATTAACTAGTGGATGGAGGTGCTGCGAGGGGGGAGGGGGAGGGGGGGGCGAGATTATATGCATAGTCAGTGTCTTGGCGCGGAGAGGAAAAAGTTGGAAACCAAGGCGGGGGTGGGGGTATAGTGTAGTTGAATTAAGATGGTAACGATTTCCGCTAATTAGATGATAGGATGTCCCGCGCGCCGCGAGCCGGGGATCAACGGAAAAACGCCGTATGGACCTTCCGACGTCGACAACTCTCTTCGGATTCAACCGTGCCGCCGTGATAGCGAAGAGAGCAGTAAGTGCAAATATGAAGTCTTGAGAGAACGGGCTCAGAAGCCTCTGACCGGAAGATTTTATTGAAAAAGGCCTCCGTTCTTTGTCAAATTGCCACTAATCATCCGAAAGACTCCAGGAAATCGTTTGGATGATTGAACTTCGACTGATTTTATTTTAATTACATAAAAAGTGTATTTTTCATTTTTATGCCACGCTATCGTTAGGCAAGATAGCCGTAAGGGCTATCTCCTGCATGATTTCGTGGTTGCGTTTTGAACATACAACAAACACATTTTCAGGTTGGAAATTGGCAGAAGAAGGCGGCACTATACTTGAAAGAACTGTTTTCATTGGATCCCTGGAGGAACAATGTCACTTACGGCTGTTTTGTCTGAAATTACGTCTTTTTTGCGGACTTACGGTTTTAATGGCTCGTTTTCAAAAAATTAAGATAAGTTTAAGATTAAGATTAGATTCTAGATTAAGTTTGCTATTTTAGCTATTTCAGTGATCTCATCCAAAAGAAATTCAACGTATTTGAAGGAAACTCGATTCCAAAAATTTGACACTTACTGCTCTCTTCGATATCGTTTTGTCATTCCAAACGCTTTGTTCGTATAAAATCAGAGACTGCTCCAGATGAATCGGACACTGGACGAATAGAGGATATATTTTTGAGACAAATGTTTCCCACTTAAAAATTTCGTGTATCGGAGGAGAGTTTAAATTTTGTTAAGATGACACTACTAGTCCGTCGAGGATATTTTTAGTGACAAATTTGACCGAAGGTTGACTTTGGCCTTTTCTTGAGCGAGATGTTCAAATTGATTGATTCTAAAGTAAATCACGAACACTATTTCGCACTTTTAATGAGCTTTTTGAAAATATGTTCAACTTGCTTGCAAAAAAGTTTGATGAGGAAACACAGCTTGTGATGTTTTTATTTTTACCTCCTTCAGTGATCCAGTTATTTCAGGGTTAAAGTAAAAATTCAAAGTAGAATGTTCACAGCACATATTTTGAAAAAAATATGTTATCCGGAGAAATTTGACAATATCCAAACGCTCATAGGTCTTTTATTCTTAAGAGGCGAATCGGCACTTGAGGCGTCGTTCATCCTGGGACGTCGAACACGACGACAGAATAATGAAACTTGGAGTGATTAAAAAGTTTGAAAAGTTGACAAGGGTGAAACTCCAGGTCGCCTAACTTTTTTTCACTCATTTTTTTCCATATTTGCTTTTTGTTGTCGGTGCGATGGTGCTTAACTTCGGTGCGAATGTTTTGAGCGGAGTTTGCGAGGATAAAGCATCGTAAGAAAAAATCTTGAAACTTCGAGAGTACCCCTTCACAGGCACTGGCGCTAAAAAAATTGTTTATATTATGAGGGATTCCGGCTGGAAGTGCTTAAAAATGAACGGAAATCGCGTAAAATGTTATTTAAGGTTTTTCGCAAACCTTTTTCGAAAAAACTTGCGTGGCTTTATCGAGAACGAATCGGTGACAAAATTTTGCAACCTCGAAGAAAGCATATTTTTCTAAAGAGCAGATACTTAATTTTTTTAGAGGAGAGGAATGACACATAAAAGTTTTTCAGGAAGTCAGCAGACATTCCGCTACTAAGATAGTGATTATGATGAAACTAAAAGGCATCTCGATTGGAGTGTTTCAGAAATTCCTCCAATAATTAATTTAAGAGGAATTTTTCGAAAGGCGATATCTCCGTTAATATTGGACGTGAGAATTAGGCGTTTAGGTGGATCTTATCATTGTTTTCTAGACGAGCTTAAGCCACCGAAACGCGATTTTATGACTAGTGCAACGGATTCCTAAACACAAGATGTTTCATCGAATTCTGGCCAGGGATACTATCATCCCTTGCACTCAACATTATTCCATTTTCAGATTACGTTTTTAGCGTACATTGAAATGAGTTTTTTCAAACATTTTTGCTCTTTTTGCAAGGCTTGCAAAACAGGTGCAACTACCTTGACTTAACGTGGCTTTGGCTCAAAGATTTAATTAGGCCAAGTTAGTCTGAACTTTGCCTTCATTTCACTCCCTCTTCCTTTTCTGCGCCAAGTTCAAAGCACCTCGTGCAAATAAAGTCAAACTCTTCTTTAATTATTACTTTTCTTAGCCACTTCATCACGGAAGAATAGACTTCAACTCTAAAGAATACCAACGCTCTCGCAGGCTCCCATTTAACTAGCTTACGAGACGTAAAGGGCAGTCGTAAGTTTTGGCGTAAAGAGCAATGAACTGCAGCTGCATCCTTACAAAACCAGAGGGAGAGACCGTCCTTTCTCTGACGTAAAAGCGTGTTTTCATTTCCACGTGAGTCCCAGGAAACATAAAGTTTGTGGAAAATAGGGCTCACCCTAAAATTTGGATACGACCTCACGTTAGTGGAGCAACGAAATGACAAGTCTCAAGAGTTGGAACTTGAAAATGCGTTTTGAAAAGGACAATGAGCGAAAAAAAATGTTTCTAGTGGTTGATGAGTTTTATCTCATGAGTTGAAACTTTAGGTGGACATTAATGGATACCTGAATTGTTTCTTCTTTTTTTGCTTGTCGCTGTACACGATTTTAAAATTTTCAAGAAAACACCCGCATTCGTGACCGATCAGTTTCAGTTTATTTTTCATAAAATCCGCCTTAAGTGGAGGATTCAACTCTGGAAGATTTATCATTTATGACTTGGTTTAAGAGCGATACCCAACGAAAAGTTCAACCGAAGAATGGACATATGAAAATAATAGAAAGGATGATTGGGTTCGACTCATATTTTGATTGACATTCGTGAATCCTACCCTCAGCAATCACACTGTTAATACTCAAAAAATCGACGGATGGAAAATTTGCAGGTGTCTGAAATCTTTTAAATTTCATTTTAAAATGAAATTTCTGAAAGAACTGAGCACAAGGATATATCCTTAGTTTCTAAAATGAACAATTAGTGGAGGAAAGATTGCATTTAGATCTATTTTTCTACAATTTCCCATTTCAGCAGAATAAAAACATGAAAAACGCTGCGAACTCAGCTCACCAAGGACGCTCGGGCGAAGCAATACAATTTTGTTGTGCAAATGCTTCATTCGCACATTGCAATATCGTGCTGATTGACTGTACCAGGAGGTTGTTTATTTTGAGCCTTGTGCTGAAATATTAACAACTGAAATCAACGACAAAGACTCCAACAAGAGAAACGACAGCGAAAAGGAGACTTCGGGATGGGTGAAAATTAAAATGAGCTGGTGGATGCTGAAACCGAACATGTTCATCATCTCATGAACCCTCGATTTTGAGCATATTGACGGAGCTCGAAGCTCAAGAAAAAATAGACATAAGGTTTCAATATGGACCGATTCGCATGATGTGAAGTCGGACGGAAACGTTGCACAGTGGATCGAGCCAATAGGAGAGGTGGGACAAAATTTGGAAACTTTGAACGCTTATAATGGAGATGTTGCATGTGTGAGGGATTTGCGATTTGACCATTGATTCTTGTGTAAAAGTTCGCGAGAAACACGATGGTGCCACTGGTTTTCTTTGAAATCATCTCCCAAGCTCAAAAAAAGCTCTCAAAGTGAGGCCAAAATGGAGGGGATATCCCACCCTACCCTGAGAGTCCACCTCTACATCAAAACAAACTCTCCATGCACAGATAGGGAGCAAATACATTGACATGGCTGCTACTTTATTTGGGGACTCCAAAACTGAAAACACGGCAACCCTGCTAATGTATTTACTCTATATCTTTGCTTGGAGAGTGTGTCTTGATGTAGAAGTGGACTCTCAGGATAGCATGGGATATCCCCTCTAATTTGGCCCCATCTTGAGAGCTTTTTTTGAGCTTGGGAGTTGATTTCAGAGAAAACCAGTGGCACCATCGTGTTTCTCGCGAACTTTTACACAAGAATCAATGGTCAAATCGCAAATCCCTCACACATGCAACATCTCCATTCCGTTCATACAAAACTTTGAGGTTCTAAATGTGGTTTCATTAGTTTTCTCGTGAAATTTTCTTCTAGTATCATCCCTGGAACTTTTAAATGTGACGAAATAAACATCAAAATCCGCAGTTTTTGTCAAAAATTTCATGTCCGACCTCTCGAATTGACTCGATCCACTGTGCGCCGGGTGGAGAATATCGGGGACGAAAAAGAAATATAAAATGTACTCACACTGAACGTGGAGTTTCAACCCGTCCTCCAAGTAGCTGGTGGAGAGCGCTGTGTTTTCCGCGCGGCATGACAGGGATTGTCCTGAGTTGGATTTATTCGCTGTGAAAAAAAGCGTGCTTATCGTCGTGTTCCCGTCACCTGACGTCTGCAAAAAACAGAGAAAAACCTGGAGCGTTAACAATCGATATAATATGTGAAAAAATGTCATCATTTCCAGTTAATAACTAGATCCAGTTTAAGGTGATTCCTCCCAGGAACAATACAAATATCGATGTATCAAACTAAATTTGCTAAAATACGAGCTTGACTTGTCTTCATTTGTGAAAACGTAGATGCAACAGTGTAGACGCATATTTCAGTAGTCGATTGGTGAATAATATTTGCCAAAATCACGACATTAAGGCCAAATGAGACTCGACGCAAAAATTCCAGTTCCATAATCGAATGCGATATTGCCAAGAAAGAAAAGTCAAACTAGTATTTTAGCAAAATGTGTTCGATATATCAATGTTTGTTTACTTCCTGATGGGAGAAATCACTTTAAAAAAAAAAAAAAAAATACAACCAGGTATTTTTATAAAACAGGCTGGGGGAGGGGGGTTTGTTCGTTTGTTGCTTGTGAGAAATCATTAAAATCACTGTGTAGTTGGTTACTTCCTCCGGATTCACTGAGAAAAATGAGGTTGTTGATGTAATGAAATTAGTCCTGTCGTTAACTTATTCCTGGAACCCCTAAAAGAAAGATGTGCCGTGCCCGCATAGACAACACCAAGAAGGAGAACATTTTTTTTTTTCGTGTTTAAAACCAACCTAAGTTTCAACAGTGACCAAGTAAAGAAATAGGATGCCTATGTGTATTTTCATGACCGCAAAACATTTTAAGGTCTGCAGTCGATAGTGAACTGGGAATATCATAAATTTGGAGCTCAAGATTCGAGCAGTTTTTAGTGTAAATAGTAAAATACGTAATAGTAAATAGTAAACACGTATTCCGATGCTTAACCTCACAGATTTTTTTTCGCATAGTTTCTTAGTTCGCAGAAAAATAAAACTGGACACTATCTCTAAAAATGTTCACTCAGTTTTGCTTATCAGACATAGATTATTGTCTAGAAATTTGAGACAATGCTGTTTATTCTTTTACGTATGCAAAAAGGGAAAAGCGTACATTTTGAAACGCCGCGGAAAGAGATACGGGATTTCAAACTTTTACTACTAAGAATAATGACTCAATGCTTTGAGTTCGAGCAGTCTTCAATATCGACGGTAAAATTCGAAAAACACGTATCTCTATTTGCGATGTTTCAGAGTTCTCGTCACATTGTCTTTCCTCCAACAAAAAACAACAATTTTTTCTCCGATTTTTTTTATGATTCCTCTCAATTTTACGTCTGCTAAGTATTTTGTAAACATTTCAAAAAAGAGCAATCATTAGTAATCCTCGACAACCCCGAAAAAAGGGTGGTGATTTTGAAGCGTGGCGACGGAGATAGGTGTTTTTACGTGTGTTGCTCGGACGTGATGCACAACGTGACGGGGGACGCCCCCGCGACGGCGTGCAACACAGCGCTCCCGACTCATACATTATTCACTGTTTGAAAACATGTAAATTTCTGAATTATTTAAACCCTTTTTAATATTCATGAGGGCTCCGCGTATTTATATGGGCAGATATGAACATTTAATAAAAGAAAAAATATCGCGCTTGTAATCATTGTCAACTCATTTGCACTGCAGTCTCGAGAACAGAGCCCCGCTCCCTCCTCCTTTTCGCACAGGGTGATTCGGGATTAAATCCCAAGATTCCAGAAGTCAATTTTTTATTCTGAGTCTGAGTCTGAGTCAATTTTTTAGTCCTGAACAGTCTGTGTCTCATACTGCCATCAGACTGTTAAACAACCTTCCCTTGCGAACTTGAGAAAATCTCTTCAGAACTGGAAAGTAAGAGAGTCTATGGTTGGTCTAAAAGCCTTACTAATTGGTAAGGCTTTCTACTCCTTAAGTGATTTCTTAAATGATAGTTAACTGTGATTTTCTGTCCCTTTTATTTTATTTTGTAAATTTTTGTAATACTCTCAAATGCTTCCCTATGATTTTTAATGTAAATATATTATATTAATGTGTAAATTTAAGGGGGGGGGGGGTTGACAAGTATTATGAGCCGCAACATGTGGCATTTATGTACACTAATGTAACATAAAAAATAAAAATAAAAAATATTCAAAATAACGAACTGGAACTTTTCAATCGCATTAAGCGCGTGATTAAAGCTGAGAGAATCAGGCTAGTTCACCGTAGCACGAAATCTTTTCGATGAGTTATTTATTTACTCCGATGCGTTCCTAGAAAAGGGAAAGAAACCCCTTTAAATAATGGACGTTCTTTGCCACTCGAAAACCCCTCACTCCATTTCCGCGAAACCACATTTTCGCGTGTTCAATCAGACAATGCCTAATGTAGTTAGGCTGAAACTCCTTAATGTCGTTCAATATTAAAGACAAATAAGTTTGTGAGAAGTCTAAGGGGCCGTTCATAAAATACGTAACGCTCCCTTGAGCGTACCCCCTCTTCCCCCCCACTGGGGGTGAGGAGAGGGTCGAGGAGAGCGTTACCGATTTATTTGATCAAATTCGACGATCTCCAGAACCAAATCCAGGCGTGTTTCGGGATTTCTTCCCCGAACTTTTGAAAAAATCGGACTTTTTCTCGAGACTTCAAGAAATCGGCATCAATCTCGGGAACCGTGGAATCTTCGGTAAAATAAAACGACAGCACTGCGAATCACCTTAATCTCAAATCACCCTGTAGTTTTCACGGCCTCGAGAATTAAAATGCGCTCGCACTATCCCAGCTTTCTTCGCTATGCCGAGAGTACCGGGCCCGGAGGGAGGGGGTGGGGGTGGAGGCATACTCCGCCCCCCCCCGCCGCTCTCGCCATGTGTTTTTCTTTTCTCCGTCGCGGGGTTTCTTTCAAGACTCCACCGTTAGCATGATAAATTCATTTGTGCAGTGCGATTCTTTTCCCTCATGATTCATTCATTATATTCAAAGCGCATACACCTCCGCCTCCGCACAATCAGCCACCGTCGCGTCGCGGACTCGAAGGGATGTCTCGAGGAACGTAAAATTGCCCTTCTTCGGTGGCGCGTCGCCCCCCTCCCCGCCCCTCCCGCTCGCGAAACGGAAAAGGCTGCGCTTGCCCTATTGTTACGGGAGGAAGGGAATTACATTGAAAAATATCGCCGCAACAACGAGGTATTACTTAAAAAGCACCGAGACGGATTGTGACGCGCTTAATTAAAGCCGTACCCGGAAAAAAACGCACAGCACGAGGAATCGGATATTGCCAAATTGTTCTTGATAAATTACGGAATTTCTGGGTCACCTATGATTTTTATAAACGGACAGTGGCGGATCCGGAGTGAGTAGAATGAGGTGGTCATTTGCTGGTGGTATGGGGGGTCCGGGGAGACCTCCTCTGGTAAATTTAACAAAAATAGGGCCATCCCGGATTGAATTTTGTGCAATTTTAGCATACATTTTGCGCATTATTTGATAGTTGAGAAGTGACGAATAATACCTATTTTAGCGTAGTTTTATAATGGTATATGGACTAGGTATTTATTTTTGCAGTGTTGAGTAACTTTTAGTTTGGTAAACCTAAGTCATAAAGTTCTGTCTTGAAATTGTTTCAGTGCTTATAGGAGCGTTTTTTCCCCTCTTCCTATTTTTCAATTTTTTGACCGAGGGGGAGAGGGTGTGCTAACCCCCCCCCCCCACCTCTGGATTCGCCACTGTATGCGCCCTATTGCAGGTAAATCTGGGGCCTGACTGTACTAGTGGAATATCAGAAATATTTAAAATGTTACAGCAAGTGGACTCCTTCTTATCTAATTTTATTCGCAAAAATGATAAAACCTAGTCCAATGTATACGTATATTTACATGATGCATTTATTCGTTCTCTGAGACCACGCCAGGAAGTATCGTTTCTTACCGAAGGCGTTTCTCATGCGTAGTCAATTTTCATCAAGGGTATTATCTTAGGCAACTGCATTACACACTAATCTACGCTGCTAAACTGTTCAGCCGGTTTTTACATGATGCAACTATTTGTCCTCTGAGGCCACGCTAGGAAGTATCGTTTCTTACTGAAGGCGTTTCTCATGCTTCGTCAATCTTCATCAAAGGCATCATCTTAAGCAACCACATTACATGCTAATCTTGGCTGTTAATTCAGCGAGTTTTTATAGGATGCATCTATTCGTCCTCTGAGGCCACGCTAGGAAGTATCATTTCTTACTGAAGGCGTTTCTTATGCGTCGTCAATCTTCATCGAAGGAATCATCTTAAGCAACATTACATGCTAATCTTCGCTGTTAATGCAGGGGGTTTTTATAGGATGCAACTATTCGTCCTCTGAGGCCACGCTAGGAAGTATCGTCTCTTACTGAAGGCGTTTTTATGAGTCGTCAATCTTCATCAAAGAACGTTACCGCTGAATAATTTTATGACTAAATCATTCATTCTATCGTTCTCTAGACGTGGCTCTGATGTCAAGAAGCGGGGAGTAAAATCATTGCGAGCTGACGGTGTGATGCAGCGTGGGTTGGGGCGGCCGGCGCGGCGCGGCGTGATGTGGTGGTCGGGAAGGAAGAGGAAGAGGAGGCATTCAGGGGCATCAGTCACTTCTGTATCCGCCCCATTTAATCTATCGAACGGACCAACAAAGCCCACGGTTCGTCCGAAGGCCCGGGCTTAAACGCGTCGAGCTTCCCGATGTTGCCATCATTTGACGTCAGTTTTGAACCCTGGTCTGATCGACTAGGATTTTAGGACTCGATTTAGGATTGATCGACTAGGATTTCAGCGGGCTGATTATTGAAATTGATAGACAGAGTGATGACAAAGGAGACATAAGGGAAATGGAACAATCTTATTGGTTGAAACGAGCGGTTGTTATGGACTAAGGGGTGAAATAGCGGACTAATTATGGGGTCTCTCGTGTGTTGCCGTTAGTTAGTCTATTATTTATCTCATTTGTCCATTGCGATCACCCACTTCCACCAATAGAATCGCCTTATTATCAGTTTGTCTCCTTAGTCTATCGCTTTCCCTATCAATTTCAATATGAGGGAAGATCGAG